CATTCTTCTGTCTGATTTCATATATACTTGATTTTCTTCCCGATTTAATTTACTATATGTAAATAGTTTAAAACTCAGAAGTGCAAAAAGACTTCTTTTTTTTTTTTTTTAAAGATTTATTTATTTATTCATATAGAACTGGGGTACAGGCCAGAGATGCGGAGGGTGAGAGGATTCACCAGAGACAGAGTGGGGTGCAGAACAGGCAGATCGACGAAGTACACTGCTGAGGCGAGCAGCAGGCGGGTCAGGAGAGGTCTGCCACGCCATGTGGTCTCCTCCGGGGGCAGGCGGGAATCGAACTCATGCGGAAGTGGCTTAAGCTTCTCAGTGCAGTGCTTTAACCCGCTGCGCCACCAGGGAGGGCCAAGACTTCTTTTTTTTTTTTAAGATTTATTTTATTTATTTATTTATGCATACAAGAACTGGGGTGTAGGCCAGAGGTGCGGGGAGTGAGAGGGTTCACCAGAGACAGAGTGGGGAGCAGAGCAGGCAGATCCACTGAAGAAACTGCTGAGGGGAGACAGGAAAGGTCTGCTGTGCCAGAGGGGTCAGCTCCCAGGCTGAGGATCGAGCTCCAGCAGTTTGGCGTGGAAGGGACATCACAGTGGTGGCGCTGGACTAAATCTGTAGGCCACCAGGGAGGCTCCTCCATTTCATTTATCTGGCTTCATTTATTACAGTTTGGAGTGTGAGGTTTAGCACCAGCTGCATCCAAATTAGAGTATATGCTTCTATTTCTTGTTCTTGGAGTTCTGTATGACTTGTGAGAGAAGCAACTGGAAAAAATGTCTTGACTCTGCCAACTTGAAACCACCTAGATCCTCCAAAGATATTCATGCTCTTATTTGTAGAAATCTAGTGGGAGGGGACTCGTTTTCCCTATAGAGAGAGGAAGTAGGCCTGCCAAAAAGTGCTACGTGGCGGCTGGCTAGTGTGATAGCTGACTGGGCACTCTGTCAGGACTTAGGCATCCCCCCTCATAAGTGTGTTTCCTGGGTCCATGTCCTGTCCCACTATGCAGACCAGTTCTCAACTCCTGAAGTAGTGTTTTCAGCTTGAGGGTTCCCATTTGACAACATACAACTGTGTGTCTTATGTAAAGTTTGCCTCATCTGAAAGAGGTGTAAAGAATTTCCAGATCACCATTCACTGAAATTGTGTCGTGTTAGATTTCACAATGGATGGAAGAAAAAAGGGGGTTAACATGCTGAAGCTGCTTCCCTAGGATATAGTTCCATTTCCATCACATTGATTAAATGTCAGCTCCTTTTTCTCTTCGGCCTCAGTGAGTCAGGTGGTCTCAGGGTTCCCACCCTTCCCCAGCTTGGCTGATGTGTGAGCAGCTCTGTCTACCCTCCTACCGACCTCATGCCTACTCCCCCTGCGTCCCCCCACCACCACCCCCCAGCCTTCCTCTGCACCTAAAATACTCTTCGGGTGGGTATCTGATGTTCCACCTCTGCTGGCATTTAGTTTACAGATTTTATTAGCTCAAATGAGTATTTTTATTTTTAAATAAGTAACCCAACCATTGGACAATTGGTACAGAGGCTATTTTTCTCTCAAGTATAATGAATGATTTTAAATGGGCCTAAGACCATTACTGGGTATATATTCCAAAGAATTGAAAGTAGAGTCTAGAAGAGTCTGAATGTGCACACCCACATTCAGAGCAACATTATTCCCAGTAACTAAAAGGTGCAAGCAACTAAATGTTGTATGGACACACATTAGGATGTTATACAGCCTAGGAAAGAAAGGAAATTCCAGTACATGGCATCAGCACAGAGATGAACCTTGAGGACATTATGCTAAGTGAAGTTAGCCAGTTCAAAAAGATAGTTCATGATTCCACTTGTATGAGGTACCTGGAGTTGTCTAGTGCATTGGGACAGAAAATAGATGGTGAATGTCAGGGAATGGGAGAAAGGGGAAATGGAGAGTGGTTTGATGGGTGTGGAGTTTCAGGTGTATGAAATGCACAGCAATGTGAATGTGTCTTAACACTACTGAACCGCATATATAATAGTTAAATGGGAAATTACCTGCATTTTACCACAACTAAAAAAAAACAATGAAACAACTTCCTGGTGGCATAGGGGTGAAATCTCAGTGTCAGCACCACCAAGACCTGAGTTCAGTCCCAGGGAACCGACCCACGTTGTGCAGCAGACTTCTTCTGTCTGGCCCGCTGCTCCCCTCAGCAGTGTATCTCAGTCAATCTGCCTGTTCTGCTCCCCACTCTGTCTCTGGTGGATCCTCTCACCCCGTTCCGGCACCTCTGACTTACACTCTAGTTCTTCTATGCACAAATTAAATAAATAAATAAATCTTAAAAAAAAAAAAAAAAGAGCTGAAGCTTATTGACTTAATGAGCCTTCACAGAAGTTCCTGACCCAACAAATATTTGAGGTTGAATCTCCAGGTCCTAGATTCCACACCAGTGGGGTTAGTTCCCTAATCTGGCAAACCAACCAGCACAGGTGAGGGGAGGCAAAGAGAAGGCAGGTAAGGCACCTCACCTAAGCATTAAGTAGAAAGTAGTTCCATCTACAGCCAGCATCTTCCCCCTGGAGATTATTCCCCCCTTAGATTCATCAGCACTGGGAGAAGGAAGTATACAACCCTTTACATTACAAATGAGGAAACTGAAACCCCGAACAGGAGAGGGGCCATTGGAGGGTCACAGATAATGGTAGCAGTGCTTTCATGAAAGTCAGCTCTAGTTGTTTGCTCTACATCCTTTTCCCCCAAGAAATAGGAAGTGTGAGCCTTAGCCCATGAGGGGATGATGAGCATGTCTGCTCCGATTCAGCATTACTGTATTGCCCAATGGACGGGGAGAGCAAGACTGGGTGACCCCCCCAGATAGAGCCAGTGTTAGAGCAGGACAGCACATGCAAGCAGGCCACGTTCATACTTACGGATCTCACTTCTGTGCCTTTCACCACCCCAGCAGGAGGAGCCAGTCTCTCCAGCCCATGCTCAGAGCTCAGGAATACAAAGTGGGTTCTCTCCAGGAGTTAACAGGCCAGTGATAAACATCAGCCATGCTCTTTTTTTTTTTTTTTAAGATAAAAATTTATTATTTATTTATGCATACAAGAACAGGGTACAGGTAGTGAGGGGCTTCAGCAGAGAGAGTGGGGAGCAGAACACTGCTGAGGAGAGCAGCTGGCAGGTCAGGAGAGGTCTGCTGAGCCATGTGGGTCAGCTCCCTGGCTGGGAATCAAAGTTTCATAGTGTTGTGCTTTAACCCCTTGTGCCACCAGGGAGGGCCCTGGCATGCTCTTAAGTGAAGGTTATTTCAAGGTTATTGGTAAGGAAGGACATTCCTAAAGCCCTTAAGAACCTTAAAATGATTGTGTTAAGCCTGGTCATTCATATTCCACCTGCAGTTTTCCATCCCTTGTCTTGTACACATACTTAATATTTTTCTTTATGTTGCCACTCCCTCCTAATTTCATGTTTATTACTATATTTTATTCTACAGCACAATATCTAATTTATACATTTATATATTAAAAGAAAATGATATCACTACTATATATGGAAAACCAGGCTCCCTTGCCCTAAATAGAAGATGACTATAAAAAGAAATTTGACGAGACAGTTTTTCAGTTGTAACTAGATTCCATTGCAGAAGGCGTTGAGCATGAGGCCTGCTCTCTGTTGAAAAGGAGCAATCAGCAAACTGTGAGGTGTTAAGGATATATCACTAATACTAGGGCTCCAGAGATAATCAGGGTTAAACAATGATCTAACACAAGAGTATAATCACACTCGTTTGATAGAACAGGTGGGCCTCCGTGAGGCTCTCGGGTACTGGGATGGTTTTAAGATAGTGAAAAATTCCTTAAGACTTGCTGCTCTCGACGCGGCAGACCTCTCCTGACCGCCTGCTGCTCCCCTCAGCAGTGTCCTTCGTCGATCTGCCTGTTCTGCGCTCCACTCTGTCCCTGCTGAATCCTCTGCATCTCTGGCCTGTACCCCAGTTCTATATGAATAAATAAATATATCTTTAAAAAAAAAAAGACTTGCTGCTCTCTCAGGGTCATGCTTACTAAAGGAGAGTGAAAAGAAA